ACCTTATATTTGATAAATTATATAAGGATAAGTAGATAAAGCTGAGCGATAAGCATAAATTGCCAAACCCTGAACAAATTAAGAGTAAAAAATATTGTAAGTGGCATAATGCATTGTCACATTTGACTAATAATTGCTTGATTTTTCGCCATGTATTACAGGATGCCATTGAATCAGGACGAATTACCATCGATGATAAGAAGAAGATGGCAGTGGATGAAAACCCTTTTCCACAGCCACTTGGAGTGAATATGGTGATATCTGGTTTCAAAAACAAGTTGTCAAAATTCAAGTTGGTTATAGATAATGGAGAAGAAGACCCTGGACCACATCCCAGTATCTTTGAGCGTATTAAAGAGAAGGAGTCAAAAAAGGATGAAGACGTCTTGTGTGCAAGATGTAAAAGAGAAGTGAGTGGGAATACGGAGAAACCAAGGATATGGCAGCATCCCCATCGCCCTATTTTCTTCCCAAACGCTCAGCTCGGTAGAAGGCGAGGTACATCGTTCTATAAGGGACCGCCTTTTGAGAGGCAGTTCAGGCCAGTAAATAATGGGAAAACATTCAGGCCGCAACCTCGCTAACCAAATGTATGGCATTCGTTCTAGTATAATGCAGGAAAGGCGATACCCTTCAACGAGATGACTAGAACCCAACAAAGGCGTTTCCAACGAAATTATGGACGAATGATGAGGCAACAACAAGGAGTGCCACGTCCTAAGGTGCCTAAACTACTCGAGGTAGCCAATCAAAATGTTCTCAAAGACAGTGAAGAGACTGGTACACATGAATCAATTAAGGAGCTGTCAGAAACCTCTTCTGGGAGATCGAAGTTTGAGCGAGACAGAAGGGATGGAGAAGATCCAGATCAACCTCTTACTATTCAGTTCGATATGTTACCTCCTGTCGTGGTTAATAACTATTTACTAGCCAATGAGGTCAAGAATAAAGAGAAGGAAGAAGAAGAAAGAGAGGATAACGAAGGAGAAGCATGCATCCTGGAATATGAAGAAGGCTAGACTTCTAGAGGGGCCTACAATGGTGAGGAAGATGATGGTATGACAGACATTGAAGAGGAAATCGATCTGGAAGCACAAAGAAGAAGAAGAGAAGTATCGTACAATACTCTGTTGAAGAAACTATATCGAGAGGGAATTCGTGAAGTAGACTTATTGGGAGAACCATCTGGGCGTTCTTTCGATTTTTACGTGCTGTATGGGACGCCCAAAAGGAAGAAGAGAGTGCCTCGCTCTGAAAAGTATGGATTACCTCCAAGAATAATGCCTCCTCCCACAGGTTGGGTAACGGAAGATGAAGCATTAGAAAACAGTAAAAAGGAAATTCAGAAGACAGAGGCTCAGTGCAATATGATGCACGTTGACTTATCACAAAAGGATAACTCGACAGAGGACAAGCAGGAAGTAGAAATAGAGGCTGTCGAAAATGTTATTTTTAAGCGGCCAGCTATGAAATTGACTAAACACTTGAGACCGTTGTACGTTAAAGCTCTAGTTAACGGCATACCGGTAGCAAAAGTGCTTGTCGATAATGGAGCAGCTATAAACACCATTCCATCTAGGATGATGAGGAAATTTGCAAAGACAGAAGGGGATATGATTCCAACAGAAGTCATCCTTACAAGTTTCAATGGAGGAGCAACTGCAGCTAAAGGAGTTATGCCATTGGACATAACTATAGGGACAACTACGAGGACCACAGTCTTCTTTGTAATAGATGGTCCTACTAGTTACAATGTGTTATTAGGAAGAGATTGGATACACGGAAGTCGCTGTATACCCTCATCGCTCCATCAATGCCGATTTTTTGGAATAACAAGGGTGAAGCAGACGTGGTGCAGGCCGATCATAGGCCTTTTGTCACAGAAGCAAACTCGGTGGAAAGGTTCATGTACAAAGGAAACTATGGACCTGTCAGCGTAGTCCAAGATGGGGAAGAAACTCAAATTGTCGCGCAGAGTGAAGAGCCATTTTCAGTAGATGCACTCACTGAAATGTTCAGTCGGATGAGGCCAAATATAGTGGCCTTAGAAGAGCCAGTAGTTGGCAAAAGAATAATCAAGGAGTCTTGAATGAGTTCTAAACAACAAAAGTAAATAGCCGATATTCAGGCCTTCAAAGCCAAATTAATGGCTTTCAATAAAGAATGCAAGGATAAGACGAAAGAAGAGGCAGCCCTAAAAACGTTGAAAGACAAATTAGCAGTATTCGAACTGGAACAAAGTATTGGCCGAGAAGTCAACAAGGTGGATTGTTTAGAAGAAGTGCTTACAAGGGAGCTGGACGATGAAGTAATGCGGATCATCAAGCCTGGATACGCTCAAGTATAAGACCCTCTGATTAAAGTAAATATTGGCAATGAAGGAGAAGATTGTCCAACATTCATCAGCCAGATGCTCGATCAAGAGGTTAGTGATAAATTAATCGCTTTGTTAAAGGAGTATAAAGATTGTTTTGCTTGGAAATATGAACAAATGCCTGGTTTAGATAGAGACTTGGTGGAACATAGATTACCAACTAAACCTAATTTTAAACCTCATAGGCAACCTCCCAGATGTTTTGCTCCTAATGTACTCCCTAAGATTAAGAAAGAGATAGAGCGATTATTAAAAGCAGACTTTATTAGAACAGCCAGGTATGTCGAATGGTTGTCCAATATCATGCCAGTACTAAAAAAGAATGGTAAACTAAGGGTGTGCATAGACTTTAAGAATTTAAACATAGCCACACCCAAAGATGAGTATCCAATGCCCATGGTAGATTCTTTAGTAGACTTAACTGCCGGACACGTCATGTATTCTTTCATGGATGGGTATTCAGGATACAATCAAATTTATATAGCTGAGGAAAACATACACAAAACTGCCTTTAGATGCCCTGAGTCTCTAGCATGTTTTGAATGGGTAGTCATTCCTTTCGGCCTGAAAAATGCAGGAGCAACTTATCAAAGGGCAATGAATTTAATTTTTCATGATATGATAGGCAAGTTTGTTGAAGTGTATATAGATGATATAGTGGTCAAATCCATTAAAGAAGAGGACCATTTCGAACAGTTAAGATGTTCATTTGAGCGAATGAAGCCATATAAGCTAAAGTTGAATCCCTTGAAATGTGCATTTGGTGTTAATGCAGGGAATTTTCTTGATTTCTTGGTACACAAAAGAGGGATTGAATTTGATAAAAATAAAGCGAAGGCCATTCTAGAGGTCAAACCACCTAGCAACAAAAAAGAATTGCAAAGGTTTCTAGACCAAGTAAACTTTTTAAGACGCTTTATTTCTAACAGTGCAGGGCGAATTAAAGTCTTTTAGCCACTTTTAAAGCTGAAAAATTAGGACGAATTTGTCTGGAAAGAAGAACATCAAAAGGCTTTTGAAAGTCTGAAGACATATTTATCAAATCCACCAGTGTTGGTGTCACCAATTCAAGGACGGCCAATAAAAGTATATGTATCGGCTGAAAGAGAATCAATAGCTGGAATGGTCGCGCAAGAAGACCAATTTGGCGAAGAGAGGGCAATTTACTACTTGAGTAGACGGTTAACAAAATGTGAATGTAATTACTCTGCTATCGAAAAATTATGTCTTCCATTGTATTTCACATGTACAAAATTAAGGGCTTATTTATGGCCCGTAACCGTTTATTTAATTTCTAGAATAAATTTGGTTAAGTATATGTTCTGTCGCCCTATTTTACACCAAATGGTAGGCCTTTGGACGTTAGCTTTATCAGAATTCGAAATACAATATATACCCCAAAAGGCAGTCAAAAATTAGGCTTTGGCTAATTTTCTAGCCGATCATCCATGCCTTGACATGCCTGAAGAAAATGAATTAGAAATCAATTCGTTCGAACTAAAACCTTGGGTGTTGTATTTTGATGGGTCAAAAACCTCTACAGGTGCAGGAGTAGGAGTAGCATTAATAAATCCTTTAGGGATTTGCTACAAGTTCGCATTCACTTTGGATAGGATGTGCACCAACAATCAGGCCGAATATGAAGCCTTAATCGTGAGCTTAGAACTAATGATAGATATGGGGTAAAGAACGTAATCATTATAGGCGATTCTCAATTGGTAATTCACCAATTGATTGGTGATTTTAAATGCCAAAGTGATTCCATCTTGAGTCAATATGAAATCGCCTAAGAATTGTTAGAAGAATTTGACCAAGTAGAACTTCAATGCGTTAATATGATATATAATGACGTGAAAAATGAGTTGGCCCAGATGGCCTCAGGGTACTCAAAAGTTTTAAATTGGAAGTCTACTTGTGAGTATGTAACCATATTGCCCGTGATCCAAAGAAGGACGAGAAGGATTGAACCTCATTGCATACAAGATGGAGATGTAATGGATTAGAGAACAAAGATTAAAAGGTTCCTTAAAGAACCCAATGAAGGAAATAATAGAAAAATAAAGTTGCGTTTACTAAACTATACACTAATAGATGAAGAGTTGTTTAAGAAACGCTCTGATGGTATATTGCTAAAATGTGTAAGTTTGCAAGAAGCCAGGACGATCATGGCTGAAGTGCACGAAGGGATATGTGGAGCTCATCAAGCTGGCCAAAGGATGAGATGGTTAATGATTAGGAGTGGATATTTGTGGCCAAAGATGGGAGAATTATGTGTTCAATATGCAAAGAGTTGTTTAGCATACCAAAAGCATGGTCCAATACAAAGGGCGCCAGTACAAGAGATGGCACCTTTTATTAAACCTTGGCCGTTCAAAGGTTAGGCGATAGACCTGATAAGGAAGATTTATCCCCCATTGTCCAAGTAACATACTTTTGTTATAGTTGCAATTGATTATTTCACCAAGTGGGTAGAGGCTGTACCTTTAAAGGAAATCACCCAAAAGAATGTCATAGAATTTA